GGAAGGCGGCCACATAACGCCAGATTGACGAGAGCCGTCAAAGCTGTGAGAAGGCGTGCTCCGGCTTCGGCAGTTGTTCTGGAGATCAGAGATCGCAGGTGAGCGGGTCGGACTCCGTCTAGTCCAGCGCTCGAGCTCGGTGGAAATGAGTTGATGGCCTTCAGGACGTCTGCTTCAGATGCTGTTAGCGATGCTGTGTTAGCGATGCTCTGTTACAATGCCCATGCATTGTAACAGAGGGCGATTTTCCTGTCTTTTTTCTATGACCCGACGCTTTCGGTTTCGGCGATCCCTGGCGGCGATGTGTGACATCATTCATACGCGTTTCGGCTGATAGGGCTCGTGCTACATGACCGCGGCCTGCGTGTCGATAATCCGTGTTGTTCGGTTTGTTGTCAGAAGTGAGTGGAAATGGCGAGGCTCCTATCGGTCAGTTGTGCGATGGCCTCGCGCCCCTGCGGACCCGATCTTTGAACTCATTCTTTAGCCGGGATAAAGAGGGACATTCCTACGACACCCTAAGAAGTGGGCATCCAGTCCGGTCCGAACGGGTGGTGCCCGGAAGTCACGCTGTTTTCGCACCAAATTGTGCTGTGTGGGTGTAGGATGGGCTCGTCGTCCAGCGTTCAGCTCGAGTTCCGAGCGGCTCCATGGTTCTGATCAGTATCGCCGTTCAGATTTTACCGTGGTCGTTGTTGGTCTCTACATGACTCGGCTAACCAATCCACCGGATAAATTCAGTGTTTGTTGTGAGTCGTGACAGTCGTTCAGTGCTGTCGGTTCTTACCATCTGAGATCTGGGTCACTCCGCAGTTCTTGTCGATAATGAAACGGCTCAGTGGTCGTGATCAGGGCAGCGATTTTGGTTCGATTGACAAATGACAATCACTTTGCGATGGGCTTTGTGGGACTTTCGTTCGTGTTGAGCGGCTTAAAAAGATGCATCTAGTCTGAGAGCAGCCGCGGCAGCCGCTGGCTCGTGACCTTTTGTCGTCGTATAACGCGGCAATAACCCCTGCAGCGGGGTATGTTGATGTTTTGCACGCGCCCCTGCCCTGTCGCTGCTCACAGGCATTTTAGATCGACGGCCTTTGCTGCACCCGTTTTTGTTGTCACTGGGAATTAAACGAGGCCATTTCTAGCATTTCTAGCGCTAACGTCCCGTCCAGTGGAGAGTCGAGGTTCGCAGGGCACGGACGGCGTGCACTCGATCCGGCGAGTCTGCCGCTACAGCTGAGTTCAGCGTGCAGAGGATTCAGTTAGTCTGCAAAGTACTACGCAAGAACTTCGTTTAGTTTATGGCTTTTCGCTTGATGCTTGCGTTTTCTCACAAAGACGACTGAACAGTAACATGCTCGACACTTACGTAACGTTTTGAACGGCCCCGCTCTCGTGGGCGCTGGTATCCAGGAAATTGCCCAATGAGCCGCCGGCTGTTTTTCGTTTCGTTCTCCCCCTCGTATCGCCGCCAAGTGTGCCGGCTGGCGGCTGAGTGTCCAGCCGACCCTTGTCCCCTCCCCGGTGGGGATGGGGGGGGGGGCAGCTCTCCGGGCGTACGGTGTTTGTCATTGGATCGGCCGCCGGCCGGGCAGTGCGGCAGTCGCCGGGCGACGGGCAACATGGCTCCTCAAGGTACAGTCTCTCACCCCTCCTCCTAAACGCACACCTGTGCGGGCTGATAAATATTCATTGGTATTGATCTGGCTATCATGCTGATGATCCTCTGTTTCGTCATTGTATTCATGTGGCCTGTGGGTCTCGAACTCAAGTATGGATTTATCAGCTGTTCTAATTGCGCACCATGCCATCAGCGGCACACGGTGTTGTGTTCATTGTGCGTTTCTAATCGACCAGATCTGACTCCGCGTGTGCTCCTTCCCCATGCCGTTGTATCAACACACGTTTGGTTGGGTGGGGCGGGGCGCCCCTGTCTAGTGTCTCCTGCGGTGAGTGCGGTGCCACAGGTGGTGAGTCAGCTCCGCCGACGACAGGTGGTGTAAGCGCCGCACGATGATTGGCGTTCTTCGGTGGATTCTTTAGTGTACCTATTTACGCCGTGGTCGATGACGCATAACATGTGCTGTGGGCGGTACGGTCCTCTGCATAAAGTTTTTGCTGTGGATGGTGCGGTGTTTATAACGTTTACCGTTAGCAGTGGTCTATAGTGGGTGCCATTATGTGTGCTGTTAGGCGGTGGGTCGTTCTATGATTTGTGTCGTTAGCAGCGGTCTGTGCTGGGTGCTAGATAAAATGCGTTCTTGTGGTGGTTGTGAGGCTCTTTGTTTGTGCACTCTGCTCGCTACGGGGTTCTGTGTAGATTGTCGTTACGGTTTTTGTTCTTTGATGTGGGCTGTTGTGTGCGTTTCGGGCTACAAAATGTGTGCTATTAATTGTCGATGTGCGGCTCTGTGATGCATGGTTTAGTCTGGTGATAGGTTGATCCATACCGTTCATATATATTAGCCAACACATGGTGTCGTGTGGTCTCTTGCCGGCTACTCTTTTGTCCCCCTCACAAAGCATTTGAAAGTGATCTACGCCTAGTGTTTCCTAAGGGCCACAAACTTTCCCTATACGAAAATAGAAGCTATCAGTTCCTCATCGCCAGCAGAAACCAGGCCGTACTAGACGGATGTTTTCAGCATACCCTCAGCCTCGGCATCAGCAGCCTCCCCCCCCCCCAAACGCACACACGTCACACGCGGAGTAGGGCGCCATGTCATCTTCATCTCCGGTTACCTTAAACATGTCCATCAGTCGGTGGGGGGTCATGTGCGATGGTCATGTCGCCTCCGCTCCTGCTCCCGCTCCTGTTGTGCCGTGCTGTGCTGGCCAGGAGGGGGGGGGGGGCTGGTCGGCCCCGTGTATATCCCGTGACAGCTGACAGGGCTCGAACTCAGGGTGACGGATCGTTTTACGTAAACTTCCCATTCAGCAAGATTGACTACAAAGAGTCAGCGAAAGTAACTATCGAATATCAGCTACCGTCTTTGTGAATGTGACATTTGTTTGTCACTTTTCTTCTGAGAAAGGCAGGAGCGAAAGAGTAGTTGATCAGGTGCTAAGTTATGTGCCCAGCTGGGTTTAATGGGAATTACTTTGGCTTTCAAGCTGCCGATTGATATGTTTATCGATGTATCATTTGAATGTGCATGTCCATCGTCATTAGTCACGCCTGTGACGCAGTTTGATGACATATGATGTATCCACAGAAGATGGCTGAGGTCCTTTGTTCTTAACTTTTCTCAGACTCTTTAGACATTCTCGCAAATGTACTGGCGGAGCAGTTTGTGTAAACACCTCGTTTGCCTATCTGCTTATCAGTGCGTGTGTGTGTTCTATGAGTCAGACCGCGGTTATTTTGTTTTCAGTCGTTTGTTTTGTTCGTTGGCGACGCTAACACCGATTTTCACAAGCAAAGTTCAAATATGTCTGACCACATGTGTCACGAAGTGGTCTTGTGTACGCACTTTGAACAATTGTTCCTCGTGAGTCATCGGAGTCATTTTCAGTGCTGGTGTCTTTTCAATTTCCGTATTTGAGAAAAAGGCCGTAGAAGCCTTGATGTGCTAAGATCGGTAGTTATTCGAGAAATCACCTTAGCAATGAATGTCAAAGTCTGCTCTCGTGATTCACTCTCAATCGCTAAAATGCGATGTAGATGCATCAACAGTAGGTACCCATTGTTGTCTTATTTTACTGACAACCTGTTGTCCCTTTTGACTACCTACCTACTCCTTTCATCTGTCCGTCGGTCCGCCCGTCCAATGCCCATCCATCCGTCCGTACCGTCCGTCAGTCCATTGATCATGCTGTGCGACTGTACCATCTGACCGTGCGTGTCTGTCTCTCCCGGCAGTGAATTCTGACGGCGACGGGCGTATGCTGGACGGTGCGACATGTTGATGTTCTGCCCCACCTGCGCCAACATTCTCATCATCGAGGAGGGCCGCGACTGCTACCGATTCGCCTGCGCCACCTGTCCGTACGTGCACAACGTGCGCCGTAAGCTGGGCAGCCGCACGTACCCCAAGCTGAAGGAGGTCGACGACGTGCTCGGAGGGGCCGCCGCCTGGGAGAACGTCGACTCGACCGCCGAGACCTGCCCAGAGTGCCGACACGGACGCGCCTACTTTATGCAGATTCAGACCCGCTCGGCCGACGAGCCTATGACCACATTCTACAAGTGCTGCAACCCGTCGTGCGGCCATCGCTGGAAGGATTAGTGTGTGCGCGGTGGATGTACTCGCTGGTGACGCGCCTACCCGCACCGCTCAGCCGCCTGGTGACACGAGCGAGTGTGCGCCGCGCCGGCGACGTGTGTCCTCTCCCTGAGTCGATGCCCGAGCTGCTCTCGCTGGCTGAGGGCGACCGCGAGCAGCTGGCGGCGTCAGTCGCGGCACACCTGCGGCGCGGTGGCGTGGCGGCGCTGCCCACCGACACTGTGTACGGCCTGGCCGCGCTGGCACAGGACGCCGGCGCCGTGGCCCGTCTCTACACCATCAAACGGCGCTGCGAGCTGAAACCAATCGCCATCTGCGTGTCTCGCCCGGAGGAGATCGGCCGCTGGGCGCACGTCACCGCCCCGGAGGCGCTGCTGCACGACCTGCTGCCCGGACCGGTGACGCTCGTGTTTCGGCGCACGCCGGCGCTTAACGGTGAGCTGAACCCGCACACGGAACTGGTGGGTGTGCGTGTGCCTGACCACCCTTTCCTCCTGGACCTAGTGTCGCGCTGCGGCGGACCTCTGGCTCTGACCAGTGCTAATCTGAGCGGCCGTCCCAGCCCGCTGCGCGCGGACGAGTTCTCGGAGCTGCACAGCCAGCTCGCCTGTGTCGTGGACGGTGGTACGCTGGGGGACAGTCCGCTGGCCAGGCTAGGGAGCACTGTAGTGGACCTGTCACAGGCTGGCACGTTTCACATCGTGCGCGCCGGCAGTGCCGAGTGGGCCACGCGCCGCGTGTTAGAGGACCGCTACGGCTGGAAGGAGCGGCTCTAACATGTCGGTGAAGCGGGCGATGCGTCTGTTTCGGCACCGACTGCCGGCCACCGCTGATGTGATCGAGTACCACCGAGAGCTGCGTCTGCGGCTGGTAGCTACCCTCAGCGAGTGCACCAAGGCCGTGCAGCACGAGTTTCACGACAGCGATGAGCCCATTCCGAGCGGCGAGCTCACCAACGAGCTGTGCCGCGCGCTCGAGGCGCTCTTCATCCACGGCCTGCGCGACTCGTTCCTCGAGCGGGTGACCAGCGCCATCAGTGACACGCGCCCGCCGGAGCCCAACTTCTGGCCGCCGCTGCTCGTCGTCAGCCACAGTGATGTCATCGAACAGATCGGCGCCCTCTCCCAGATCCGCACCGACATCGGCAAGGCGCGCTCGTGGCTGCGCGGCGCGCTCAACGACGGACTACTCACCAGCTACATGGCTATGATCATCGCCGATACTCGCCTGCTCGGCTATCACTACGACCGACTGTCGTTGATGCGGGACCAGGAGCAGATGGAGATCGTGATGCGCTACCTGCAGGGCCTGGAGACGCTCCGGTTCGCGTTGGCCACCAACTCGAGCCTGCTCAATACGTGGGACGAAATGTCGCTGGAGATGGCGGGCATCTGGTTCCAGCCGCGGCGGCTGGGACGGGGCGCCGTGGCACAGGCGCAGGACGTGGCGGCTGCTATACCCGAACAGAAACCGCGGCCGCAGCCGCCGGCCGAGCTGGCGCTGCCGCTGCCCGAGCCGCGAGCGCCCACACTCATCATGAATGCGCTCGACCCGGACATGGCGTTCGACGTTATCATGCGCTCGTCGTGTGTAGAGAGGCCGTCGGCGATGATCAATGAAACTACCAGCGGAGGTGGCGGCGCGGGCACCAACTCCGAGGCCAGCAGTCTGGCCGGCGAGGTGGCGGCGATCACCGGCCGGCCGCCGCCTCCGAGCGAGTCGTACATCAGTGTGCTGGAGTCGTACCGCGAGAGCAGCCCGCGCGCCCGCTCCCTGATGCAGACACCGGACGTGCAGTTCATGTACGGACGCAGTGTAGACAGCTCGGGCGCGTCGGCTGCCTCGTCGGCCGGCGCCGCCAACGATCTGGAGGGGAGCGGCGAGTCGGAAAAACCGCCGGCGGAGACCGCGGCGCCAGACTCGGCCGGACAGAGTGAGGAGAAGCCGGCCGCGGACGAACAGCCGGTGCCGGAAACAGTGGACAGTCGCTACTACTGGCTGACGGATATTCCTGCTGAGGGAGCTCTGGACAAACAGCAGTACACGTGCGGTAGCTGCCACCGGTTCGTGGGCATGCTGTACGGAGAGCCGCGCCTCTGTACCCTGGACGGCGCTCTGTACTGCGGCGACTGCCACACGGGCCGCGACCACGCCCAGCTCCCCGCCCGCATCATACACAACTGGGACTTTGACCGATACCCGGTGGCGCGCTGCAACCGAGAGTTCCTCGAGCAGGTTGACTCGGAGCCTACTATCAACGTGGCCGAGCACAACATCAGCATCTACAACGTTAGCGCCGAGATGGACCGCGTGCGCCTGCTGCGTGTTCGACTCGTGTTTCTGAACGCGTTCCTGCACACGTGTCGGAGCGGCGCGGCCGCCGAGCTGGAGCGCCGTCTGCAAGGGCGCCGCCACCTCTGTGAACACGTGCACCTGTACGCGCCGGTGGACCTGCGTGACACGCGGAACGGCTCTCTGGCGAGCACCCTGCAGACGGTGGTCGAGTTCGCTGTGGAGCACGTGATGAACTGCGGCCTGTGCAGCCAGCGCGGCTTTGTGTGCGAGTTCTGCCGGGACGAGAACATCATCTACCCGTTCGAGCTGGAGACGACGCGCCAGTGCCGGCAGTGCTGCGGCCTGTACCACAGCCGCTGCTGGCGCCGGCCGACTCCGTGCCCGCGCTGCGAGCGCTACCGGCGCCGGGCCGAGCTGCGCCAGCTGCTCGATGAGCCGCAGCTGGACGGCGGACAGAGCACGCCCGCCGCCGGCGCGCAGTCCGAACAGTAGCTGATGTGCCGCGCTCGGCTCACTATGTGTGATGGTGCTGTGCGGGTCCGCGGCCGACGCTTAGTGTGATGTGCGGGTCATTTAGCCGTGGTCTCTGCCGGGCGTGGACTGCCGTTGAAGACTGACTCAGGTCTGATAGACGTGTAGTGTGGTGTGTGAACTACAGAGGCTGAAGGAATGACCGCTAATGTGCCTACCTGGCCAGTCGCGTGCGCCGTGATCTATTTTTGGAGGCGCTGACACTTGGGAGCAATGCGCCCGTTTACGGTCACTTACGCATAGATTGCGACGGACGCAGTGTAGCGGTAAGAAGATTGAGTGTGTGACAAAGATGCGCTGACACTTGACACAAACATGATTCACGCTTGTGAGATATGGGGTACGTGTCGCACAGTTCCTTACCATTGACTCTCCACCCAATAAAATGGTGTATGTTTCATTCTCTCTATTGTCCTACCACTGCAGTCAGTTTGCAGTTCAAGTATATAGGGCCTTGGTCGTTTCATTCGCATGACGCAGCTTTGTCAAACATTTAAGTACCCAGCTGTTGGGTGGAAACGTTATACATATATGCTGTTTGTGTTAGTCTCGATTCGATCAACCCAGGTAAACTTATTTATTGACCTCAAAACGAAATCGGTGATTGTGTACCGTCTCTGGTCTTGAAAATAAAGATTGTCCATTATAAATCACATCTGGTCGCAGATGACTCCACGCGTAACACGATCGGTTCTTCACTCCACTTCTGTCTGACTCTTCTGATAAACTGTACATGTTTACTGTCGGTTAGTGGTCGACGCTGAAACTGCGAAGTGTAGAGCGTAGACCATGTGTAGGGATACGGCCACTGTGATAGCAAGGCCACCGCCGCAAAGAATCTCTAACCAAGCTGGAGTGGGCATCTGACCAAGTTCCATACCAATACATGTTGATCTGAGGCCGCACGTCGGGCACAGGCGACAGTGGTCCAACTCATATGTCTGACTGGGCAATATAGTATTATTAGTAAGTACCGTATACCTATCTCCGCAGAGAATATTGAGTTTAGGGACTGAGGGGTACGCTACGCTTTTACGTTTTTTTTTGCTCTAAACATCGATGCCACTTGCAAATTAGTAATCCGAATAACCGGTAAGCTAGATATTACCGTCCCCAAGGCTTTGGAACTCTATGAAAGTGAAAGTGGAGTACCGGTTCTCGGTTCAAACCGTTCAAACAATCGCATTGCAGTATGACACACCAATTGATTTATTGTATAAAATTAATCATACCTTGAAATTATTATCCATGCGGCTCTGTTTTGTAGATATCGTAGAACACAATAAACGTGTGCACTGTGCAGTGTAAGATGTAAATCACTGCCAAGTGATATAGATTGAACGGTGGCAGCAGTTTAAATTGAAATTATGAGACGTATCTTGCGGATCAAAGACAAAATAGGCGGAGGCATTTTATTGGAATTCTGAATTTTTAGGTTTTTATTTCGCATTTATTTCTGAGCAGGGTTGATAGAAACGTATAGGACATATCACAAATAATGTTGAATATGCTGATGGTATTCAAGAGCATGCATGATTTACTATTTAGTCCAAAATCGAGATTCAGTCTTCAGACGACGCCGACGTGGACGCGTCTCTGAACCAGAACCTGAAAACACGTGGCCAACTCAAACTCAAAGTTCAAAGCATCGGGATATAATATATTGATATTCAGACGCAAAATTTGGCAATTGGCAATGAAAGCAACAAGCCACAAATCCTGGCAGGATAGCCAATAAAATATTATAAGACAGGCTTAGGATAGTGCTGCCTTTGCGGCACACCTGCAACGGCTTTGACCTGCACTGTTTTGAAAATGGCTGAGTTTTAATGGTACCCTTTGCCTTTACTAATACTGAACCAGTCAACAACGTGCAGAGCCAGTAATGGAATTTAAAAATGTGTTCTTATGCAAGAAGTAATTTAATAATTGCATAATTTTTCCCTGGTCCACCCTGCTATGTTTTGTCATTGTGTCGATTGTGTCATTTCTTGGATAACCCTGCATGACTGCCACAGCAGTCCTACTCCTGTACGCTGGTTGCTTGTAAGCTGTTTAAATGCTGGTAGTCTTATAAATAACTTCACCACAACTAGCAGCAGCACACCACAGTAAATCCTCAGTGCTTAGTGCACTGAACAATGCCAATGCCAACATAAGCTGAGTGAGTGTTCCTTTAATGAGAAGATCATCCGGAGCAAGAGAAGAAGTTGCCATCCTTTGCTGTTTGGAGTGACTGCACTCTGCAGTGTGGACACATTGACAGGGACAAGTCATTGTGAAATATTTGAAGGGCTTGACAAAAATTTGATCAGTTTGGCATTAATTGATTAAATGACTAATTGAGGCTTGATTATAAATTGAGGCTTTATGATATCTGAACATAAACTTGTATTTTTGCAGTCTCCTGTTGAAGCTTAACTGGATAAAATTGAAATATCAAGATGAGAAACTTGGTTGTTTCAAAGGTTGATGTTCAAGCTCTGGACAATGACCCAGATTCAAGCTTGTCACCTACTGGAAGACCCTTCATATCTCCAGACCCAGACAACAGCACAGTGTTTGTTTCTGACTCAAAGCACATAGTCAAGCTGGATGGAGCAAGTGTAAGTTTTTGTTTGAAGCTTATAATTCACATTTAATGTTCTGTAAGTAATGACTGGATGTAAGTCAATCTTTCTTCTGCTAATAAATGGTATATTCCATTAAATGTTGTGACATGATCAAATTCAATTCCTGCTCATGTTCCCTGATATTTTTGAATCTAGCAGACAGTTTTTATGCAGCTTATTGTAATTACATGTTGTAAGTTGTTGGAGGGTGCCTGGTTCCCAGTTTCTTTTTCTCATCACATTATTTTGTAAGGCTTAAGTCAAGTTGCCTGAGATACTATTGATAAGTGCTCAGTTGAGTCCAGCGGAAGCTTAAATGGACTATTTCAAGAGGTTCTTCATGTATCCATTGGGAGATAGAGCCTGACACTGTTATGCTTTGACAGGTGGAGACATGTGTCAGTTTCACTGAGCACATCAACCAATCAGAACAGGATGAGGTGGTGGCTGCTGAGTATCTGCCTGATCACCAGGCACTCTTTGCCATTTCCAAGGCAGGAGCATTCTTGCTGTGTGATTGCAACACACAAAAGGTTGGTATGCAGCTATGCTTTTTGTTTTTGAGTAGGGTATTTGATTAAAGTTTGCCTGTATTGGTGTAAGTCTCTTGATGTTCGAAGCAGAACGAATGAGACATTCAACTGCAAACTCTGGGTTTCCCTACTCCTAATTTGTGTGATGGCAATGCTCTCAAAAGCAGCTGGTCATTTTGGTCTATTCTCCCCAGGTTGAGCATGTGGGCAGTGTGCCTGACGGGCTGCAGGCTATGTGCTGGAGCCCCGACCTGGAGCTGGCTGCTCTGGTCACCTCACAGCCAGCACTGCTGCTCATCACAGCAGAGTTTGAGCCGGTGGCTGAACTCCCACTCCTCTCAGAGGAGTTTGGAGACAGTGAGTTAAAAAACTGCAGGGATGAGACATGCCATAGCCCCAAGAACTGGTTGAGCTTCTCACTCGACGTTATTCTATACAAGTTATGTATAAATTTTGCTATAACTGAGATGGCTGTATCACTGTGATGTCTGCGATCCCTGTGCGGTGGTATCTGACTGCTGTGACCGTGTTCGTGGCAGTGGCCCCCGTCACTGTCGGCTGGGGCCGTAAGGAGACCCAGTTCCACGGCTCGGCCGGCAAGGCGGCCGCCGTGGCGTCGGAGCCGACCGCGGAGCCGGCCGGGCGGGACGACGGCCGGCCGAGGGTCACCTGGCGGGGCGACGGACAGATGTTGGCCGTGAGCGTTCTTTGCCGCGAGACAGGTCAGTCACACACCTGAGCTAAACATTTTTACCATACTTGGCTGCGAGACAGGTGAGTGGCACACGACTGCAAAACAGGGCAGTGCGTCCTCTACCGTAAGACAGGACGTCAGTAACACACTCACTAGGGCCTTGCTGTTAGATCCTTTCCTGGTCTTGCTGTTGGATCGTTTCTGGGCGTATTGTTGAGCCGTTGTTGGGTGCACTGTTCGGCCAGTGCTGAGTGCGTCGTGACCAGTGTGTATCCGCGGCGTTGGTGACAGCCCTCCCGGTCTTCAGGCGCCCGCCGGTTCGTGGTCGTGTCCCGCGACGGCAGCCGTCTCTCCACCAGCGAGCCGGTGGCAGCGCTGGGTCAGAGCCTAGCCTGGCGACCCTCCGGCGCCACCCTGGCCGCCACGCAGCGACTTCCCAACAAGCTGCAGGTGGTGTTCTTCGAGAAGAACGGCCTGCGTCACGGAGAGTTCACGCTGCCCTTCCCGCCGGACGGAGCGCATGTGAGTGGACACGCTGACGGCCCAGTGGGCTGACCGACGGCGATGGGAGCCGAATTCGGCGAGCTGTGGACCGACTTAGCCGCTATGGTGTGCTCCAAAATCCTAAATCATCTTCTGATTGAATGTTTGGGATTAAACAATGAAATTCACATTGTTTCATGAGTATAATGGTTCAGAATGTTCGAAATGTAACGGCATGTGTGTTGCCATCAAACCAACTTCGACTATGACATCGAAGCCTTTCCTGAGTATTTAAATGGATCGTAATTCCCGCCGCTGTTCTCCCTAGTGTCTGAGTTCTGCCGGAGCGGTAATAATTTCATCCCCGTTCCGCCGGCGTCGCAGGTCCGCGAGCTGCTGTGGAGTCCCGACTCGGCGGTGCTGGCCGTGTGGCTGGAGCTCGGCTTAGAGTCGGAGTCAGAGTCAGAGTCTCGCGTGCAGCTGTGGACGACGGGCAACTACCACTGGTACTGCAAGCAGGAGCACGTGGTGGCGGCCGGCGACCGGGCGGTGGCCGTCACCTGGCACCCGGCAGCCGACTACAGGTCAGTCACGGGCACGACGACCAGCGCCGGCAGCGGTAACTGCATGCAGGTCGCGCTCGCGCAAACGCGATTACGTAATTAGGCACTCAGCTCAGTGTCTCAAAGCCATTGCGATGCTGTCACATCACCCAGATGCGCATTCACGTTTTCCATTTCGCTCCTCCCCGCATAACGATAAAGTCGCTTCGGGCGACACGCTACGCCCCCCCCCCTCTCTTACACACACACTACTCCTGGCCTCTATTTGCTCGGGCTGGCTGGTGACGATGGTGAAAGTCTGGTGGTAATGTGCCGCTTCGGCCGGCTGGTGACTCTGTGTTGTCTGACGGTGACGCTGGTGACAGGCTGGTCATGGTGCTGTGCCGCTCGGGACGGCTGGTGATATGGTTACTGACTCTGCCGCTGGTGACAGGCTGTTGGTGCTGTGCCGCTCCGGTCGCCTGCTCACCTGGGAGCACCAGTGGCGGTGGTCGACCGCCCCCCATTCATCAGTGGCAGCAGTGGCGGACGGCAGGCGACTACTCATCACTCCACTGGCATCCACCGTCGTACCGCCTCCCATGTCTGCCCACGAGCTGGTACTGCCGGCCTCTGTCAGTGCTGTGTGCCAGGGACCGGCCGGCGCTGACCACTGGCTGTGGGCAGTCACCTCCGACCGACGACTGCACGCGTTCCGACTCTGTGAGTGACCACCAGAGTTAGCTGGCCTAAATGCGTAGCGTGAATTGGCAATATCAATGTCCTTTTGTTGATTTAAGGAATGTATTTTTTTTTCCAGACAAAGTTGATATTATCAATGATCAATGTCTTTATCAAACGAATATGATTTTCCGTGTTACAAATGATGGCTTTTATTGTTTTCTTATTCAGGAGCCCCAGAGCCATAATTTTACTCCCCAACAACATGTCATTGTTTACAATATGTGACGTTATTCCTGTGCTCTCTGCCGCCCTCGTGACCTCCCCGTTCCCTGCACAGTGCCGCTGGGCACCGAGCCGGTCACCTCCACCGCCGGCTGCACTGTAACCATGACAGCCGGCGGCGGCGTCGGGTTCGCCGCGCGCGCGCCGCTGCACGAGTGGCGTGGGAGCTGCTCTGTGGGTGGCGCGCCGCCGGTGTACGCCTCCTGGGCCTGGGAGCTGGTGAGCGCCGAGCGAATGGTGTGCGCGGCACATACTCAGGACGGGTACCAGCTGTGGCTAATGGACGTTACGGCGCCAGAGACGGCGGGTGGTGGCGGCGTCAGCGTCACACTGAGGTGAGTGTCGATGGGCTGGTGATACCCGGGACCGGTCGTGGTGGGTATGTATTGGCCGGTATGGCAGGATGGTGGAACCGGGACGGTAAAGATAGTGAGACAGGTGTAGAAGATAGAGCCGATTGGCACGGATAGGGCCTTTTCATGGATACGGCCCGGGTGAGACGGGTAGTGTCGGCCAATATCAGGGTGGGAGTGGGGTGGGAGAGTATACCTATGCATTATGCACCCTCACATCAGCTGCATTTTCTCGCCCAACGTCATGTGTGCTGTATACCGTGCCCGTTCGCGATAGTCCCCTGACAGTCTCTCAGCCGACCCGCCCTGACCCTCCCCGCGTGTGTTTCAGTCGCACGCTGCCGGTGTCCTCTGCGCCCCTCATCATCAGTGCGGTGGGCGGCGGGTCGGCCGAGGCCGTGGTCCACTCCGAGGACGGCTCGATGTCGCTGTTAGACACAGAGACAGCCGAGTTGCGGCCGATCACCGACGGCCAGTCGGGAATGGAGGTCCGGCTGCCGGTCCCCGCACAGCAGGCCAGTGCTGAGAGTGACACTGACAATGACACTTGACTTTGAGCATTTTGCATCCTATTTTTTTTTTTTTTTACCATATGGTTAGGCGACAGGCGTAATGCTACACATCTAACTTCCTGAGTTTGCAGAGATATATTGTCCCAGTGGACGTAACGGTTGAACCCATGCAGTTAGTCGGAACTGGAAATCCATTTGCCGTATCTGCTTGGCGCGGTGTCGTGACAGCTGCTGTCTTAAACTCTACCTAGCTGTCCCGCTGCTAAGTTGATGACGGTCCTGTCCCGCTGAGGCTTTCTCACCCTCCTTGCCGGTACAGGTGGTAGCCGTGAGCGGCGGCCCGGCCGGCCGGCGCCGCGTCCTGTCTCTGACCGGCCAGCGGCGGCTCTACTGCGACGGCCGGCCGCTGCTATCTGCCTGCAGCTCGTTCGGCGTGTCTGACGACTTTCTGGTGGTGACCACGCTGGAACACACGCTCCTCTGCCTGCCGCTGACCGCTCTGCTGGCTGACGGTTAGTAGTTGGACACGATACCGACCGCTGCCCCACTTACAGCGAGGGCGGGACTAGTCCGACCTGAGGCCGGGCAACTTCTGGGGAATTAGATAAATGCCGTCGTTGGACCTCCAACGCAACGAGCCACAACCAGACAAATGTAGAGCTACGAAGGCCTTACATGAAGACTAGTATAAACGGCGATGATGTTCAATGTCACGCATTGATATCAGTATGTGAGCGTGCTCTGTGTCTTTGCTGACCTACCTACCCTTTCCACTCACAGGCAGTTCTGTCTCGGAGTCGAGCTGGTCGGAGGTGGGCACTCGGCGGCTGGAGCGGGGCTCGCGACTGGTGACGGCCGTGCGCGGCGACACGCGACTGGTGCTACAGATGCCGCGAGGAAACTTGGAGGTGATCCACCCGCGGCCGCTGGTGGTGGCCAGACTGGCGCGCCTCATGGACAGGTGAGGGATGGTGTGGGACTGAAGAAGCAGACGCTCGGGGCTTGGGCTGATATTGGAGGAAGGTGTTGACACACATATAAGATGGGGACACGCTTTCGCTGACGGACGCTTGAGTGGGTTCTTGGAGGAACTGACGGCAAGGGGAAGGCCTGAAACGCTTGGGTAGCAACAACTGACACACTTGTCGATGCACGGTCGCACTATATAGTTAATGACTGCCTGATTATAGGGGAGGGACTAACTCTAACACAAGGAAGGGATTTGCAAGCATCGGGAAAGGTTAACACGTTGGGACAGACTACAGAGACCGAAACACATCGACAAGGAGTGATCTGACCAGAGTAAGACTGACTGCCGCTGTTTTGTCGTCATGTACCGGCTGTCGCGCCTCATCCTCTGACCGTTTCTCACCACCCCGCCAGCGCCGAGTACTACACTGCCTACTCGGAGATGCGTCGGCACCGGATCAACCTCAACCTGCTGGTCGACCACGATCCGGAGACGTTCGCGGCGCGCTGCGACGATATCTGCGCGGCGCTGCGCCACGAGCCCAGCTGGCTGTGTGTGTTCGTCTCCGATCTCAGGTCAGTCGCTGTCTGGTCGCTGTTTTCTGTAGCCCGTTGGTATAATTACTGGGCTCTTTTTTGGTGAGCAGTCTTTTGCACATTGCACGTCATGCAACATTTCCCAGGCCAGCCGCCGGCCGTATGCAGCTCTGCATAAAGCACGGGTTGCGATGAGTTGTGACCGGCCTGTATAAATCATCTCTATCCGGTTAGCGTTTCATTGACCTCCACAGAATCATCCGCCCTAAACACTAACCCCACTCCCATCACACGTCATATTAACTAACTATATGTCTGCCTGGCCTGTCCGGTCTCCATATTGACGGTATGTCCCCACCCGCCCCCTGCTCCGCCAGTGAGGAGGACGTAACTCGCACCCTCTACCGCGAGTCCTACCGGAGCCGCTCGGCCGCCGCCGCGGCCCCTCCTGGAAAGGTGGACCGCGTTTGTGAGCTGGTGCGGGACTCCCTGGAGCGGCTGGATCGCGGTCGGCTGCTGCTACCGCTGCTCACCACACTGGTGCGGCACACCCGGCCGAGATTGGAGGAGGCGCTGCGGGTCATCAGTCAGCTCAGAGGTGAGCAGCAGCGCGAGGACATAAAAAATGCGGGGACGACTGGGAAAATTGGAGTGGAAATCTCACTGATTCATGAGCATGCTGACGTACCCCATGTGGGCTATATCACTGTATCAGTGCTGGATCTTGTTTTGGTCCTTGGTTGGGTCCTTTGTCTGACTCCCGCAGAATGATGGTCGAGTCTTTTTATCCTCGAAAGGGAGTAATTCGTCTATTTGCACTGTCACGGCTGTTATAATCATATCGTCTAAGAGACGATCTCAGCTCAGTGTAGGCGGCTCCTTGTCGCAGACTCTTGTCACGCCCAACCCCTCCTGTCGATGCTTCTTTATACATAGGCTCTGAGTGTGTCTCCTAACCGTGCCCCGTTAGCACACACGCAGTACATCCTCCAGCTGACTGACCCCCCCCCCCCCTCCATTTACAGACGCTCCTCCCACCGAGCCGGGCGCGGTGACGGCCGACGCTGCGCTCCGTTACCTCATCTGTCTGGTGGACGTCGACCAACTCTACTCCGTGGCTATGGGCACGTACGACTTCGACCTGGTCCTCATGGTGGCAGAAAAGTCGCAGAAGGTACGAGGTCGACACAGATCGGGACTGGAGAGCTGCACTCTGGGAAACGGCGGATATCTGCCTGGGAATCGGTCGCTCTTCAGGGTTTGTCTTGTGAATCGTAACTTACGAAAAGGCAGCAACTGTTTACCCTTGTTTCGTTGTAGTGGATGACACTCAAAGGATTATGTGATTTCCAAAATCCATCACTTTTTGAGCTGTTGTCTCCATTTTGCCGCTTGTTATTATTATTATTATTTATTTATTATTATTATTTTTGTTGGGTTAGGCCCAGGGATGCGGAGCCGGAGCCGGAGTCGGAGCCGGAGCCGCCGGAGCCGGCATATTTTGCCCGGAGCCGGAGCCGGAGCCGGAGCCGTGAAACAATATAGCCCGGAGCCGGAGCCGGAGCCGGAGCCGCCAAAAAAGGGGGCGACTCCGGCTCCTTTTTATTTTTTGAAGAGGAAAGAAAATAATTGACCTAGTTCGGTTTGACAGTACAAGGCAGTAAAACATATGGTACTTACGTCATGGGCCATCAAGTGAATGAAAAAATCCGAATATCCCCAGTATCCCACAGTACGCAAACAACTTCCTGTTTGCTCTCCCCCCCCCCCCCCCCACGTCTACTGCATCCCCAGAACATGAGGACCAGTCATCAGGTGACAGCCATCGTTTTCAAACCAGTGCAGTGGACTGCGACTCCCAGCACCGTCTCATCCCACACACCCCCCACCCCTCACCCCCCAATGCAGCCGAGACGGGTGTCAGCTTACGATGGTTCACTGAACTCCGATTCGCGGCGACTGCGTTTCCAATGCCATCGCTTCCTAGCCCTTTGTTCTGCCAGTTCTCTCCGAGGTGCGTTTGCGCGGGGACGCGGTGAGCCGGTCATGGCAAAGAGTAACGCGTATAACCAATCCAATTTTTCTTCCACCCGTATTTAATTGATTGCGTAGGGGATGTACTGAGTCGGAGCCGGAGCCGCCGGAGCCGGACCATTTTACTCGGAGCCGGAGCCGGAGCCGGAGCCGCCATAACATTTCACCCGGAGCCGGAGCCGGAGCCGGAGCCGATTTTTTTATCCGGAGCCGGAGCCGGAGCCGGAGCCGTCTGAAATTTCCACGGCTCCGCATCCCTGGTTAGGCCCCTTTGGACTGACGAGACCAGGTTCAGAGCAGGAAGGATGATAGGAATTAGGTGGAGACATTGGTCTGGGCAGTGCACCCTAGTGAGTCACTGCACCCGGTTACGGGTGTGCTCCCTTGGGACCAGCGGTGCCGCTCCAAGGGAGCAGCCCGCATGAGATAAAGGTGCCTGTCCAGCCCAGACTGAGGGCTGCGGCGTGAAAGAGAAGGGTTAGAATATCCTGAGGATGGAAAAGACGGAACGGAGCTTTCATCTTTATCTTTATCTTTTGTTGGGTTAGGCCCTTTCGGTCCAATTAGACCATTTCAGAGCCGGAAGGATGATAGGATATAGGGGGAGACATTGGTCTGGGCAGGCACCCTAGTGAGTCGCCGGGGCTGAGCCAAGCTTTCATCGTTTGTGCTGCTCATTTAGCTTGCTTGTCGGCTGTCTATGATGGGAGTATGTGTAGGATGGACGGGGACCTGCTTTGCCCGTCTCCGCCCTCCGGTGTTGACCATTGGACCCCTCCCGTTAGGATCCCAAGGAGTACCTGCCTCTTCTGAACGAGCTCCGTCAGCTGCCGGCCGAGTACGCCCGGTACCGAGTGGACTGTCTGCTGCGCCGGCACGAGTCAGCTCTGCGCCACCTGGCCGCGGCCGGCGCCGACCGGCAGCCCGAGCTGCTGCGACTGGTGCAGGAGCGCGGCCTGTACTCGGCGGCGCTGCGGCTGCTGCCGGCCGGCGGCGCCGCCTACCGCGCCGTCTGCGGACTGTTCGCCGAACACCTGGACGGCGCCGGCCGCTGCTGGGAGGCGGCCGCGCTGTACGTGCGTGCCGGCGCCCAGACGTCGGCCGTGGACGCGCTGCGCCGCGCCGGCGCCTGGCGCCAGTGTCTGCAGACGGCCGGACAGCTGGGTATGCCGGCTGACCAGCTGCGTCAGCTGGCCGCCGGACTGGCCGCCGAGCTGCGCGCGGCCGGACGCTGCGCAGACGCCGCGGCGGTCTATGAGCGTCACCTGCGCCAGCCAGAGGAACAGGTGGCCTGCCTGCTGGAGGGCCGCCTCTGGGACCAGGCGGTGGCCGCCTGCCACCAGGCGCGACGGCCCCAGATGGTCGGTGAGTGTTCACGGTCCACCAAAAGTTCTGCTCACTGTGAAACGGCCTTGGTGCAAACTACGAACCATCGGCCATTCGGCCAATCAGTGTAATGCTATCCTCTATCCTTGAATGCATTGATATTTTACTGCGTTCCTGCCCGACTGGGGTTTACGTTTTTCACACGCGAGACTCTTGACGTTTACATATATGCGTCCCATGTGAACCGACAACTGGGTATCTTCAGTGACGTCACTTGGTATTTGTGCGGTTGTGGGTGGTGGACTGGAAGCGCCTCTGTTCAGTTTACCATTCCGGACCCCTCCGTTCGTAGTCAGGATGGCCGAGCGGTCTAAGGCGCTGCGTTCAGGTCGCAGTCTGGTTCTCCAGGCGTGGGTTCGAATCCCACTTCTGACAAATGCTTTTCACTTTCGCTCTTGCCCGACAGTGAGCCCTCGTCAATTCCGAACAGCTCGAAGCGACACGGAGCTCGGTGCTATCATCGTTTTGCACACTTCACCCTCATCGCTGTATAGCTCTGGTGACAGTGTGTCGACTGTAGTAACCATGTCACTCCTCTGCACGCTGATTTAACCCTGACCCGTCCTCTTGCAGCGGTGCTAGCGGTACCGGCGCTCCACCGGGCGGCGGCCAACATGGCTGACACACTGCGCCGGATCTCTGACACGCTGACCGAGCGTCGCGCCCGGCTGGCGGTGGTGCGTGCCCAGCAGCTGCAGCTTCTCAGCCGGCAGCGGTGCCAGCTGGCCGACGGCGAGGGGCCGGCTGGGGCTGACAGCGACCTCTACTCGGACTCGAGCAGCGTGTCGGGGGTATCCGCCAGCTCCGGATCGTCAAGGTGAGCTCTGAGCGCCGCGTCGCTGGCTGGCCAGAGACGGCAACAACAAATAACGGGCGACCATGGGGCCTGTGTCTGTTAGCTAGAGCATCCATTTGATGTTTTTCCTTCTCAATATCTCGTTTGCTCTGGATGGATATCATTGATCGTTGTCTACACCAATGTATATGGCATTGGTCGAGTTGCGTTTCGTTGCATTGCGTGATGTTGATGTTGTGCTTCTATAGCCATGTGGCCTCGCAGAGCTTCGATGTGGTGACCCGCTGACCGGTCCCGCGTATTCCACCAGCCGCACCTTCCGCTCCAGCAAGTCCCGGCGGAAGCAGGAGCGGAAAAAGTACAGTCTGCGGGAGGGCAGCGGCCTCGAGGACCTGGCTCTGGTGGCCGCCTGTCACGCGCTCATCGCCGAGGCTAGTGCGCTCACAGGTGGGTGGGTCGTTAGAGGGCACAGGGGTCATTAGAATACACAGAGGTCACCAGGATTCGCAGAGGTCACCAGAGTGCACAGGGATGCAACCACAGGGATACCGGAGCACACAGGGGTCATTAGAGCACACAGTGGTCGCCAAGGGGCGCAGAGGTCACCAGAGCGCAAGAAGAGCTCGGGGGCTATCGTACATGTCACTGTACATCCAGCTCAGTGATGTGTCCGTCTGTCCTGCCTTTTTGTCGTTCCATCCTCTCCTCTCCCCCCCCCCCCCCCATTGAGTGCAACCAGAGCTCACGCCTGACGCCCTCCCCCCCCCCCCCCCCTCCCGCAGAGGAGATGTCTGCGCTACTCCGCGCGCTGGTCCAACACTCCCTCGACGAGCCTGCCGGCGGTCTGCAGCGCTCCTTCGCGGCCCTGTTGGACACCCTGCCGGCGGCGGCGGCGGAGGTGTGGCCCGAGCCAGCGGCCGTCGCTCAGCCCCCGCCGGCGGGTCTCGGCCCCACCGTCACCGCCAATCAGCTGGCTGACCTGGCGCAGGCCGGAGGGGACGCGGCCGCCGCGCAGACGGCGTATGCGGCGCGGATGGCACAGCTCGGTGAGTTGGAGGGGTGGTGTTGTTGTTGGTGTTGGTGAATGTTGTTGGTGGAAAATGTTGGTGGAAAATGTTGGTGGGGTGGACGGGGATATACAGATGGATGGAATGTGGTATACAAACTCAACAAGGTTGGAAGATCGCTGGTTTTTTAATGTCTAAAATCAGCCCAAGCGGCGGTTGTCTGGTCTCATATGAGTTGGGCTGGTCCGGACTGGACTGGAGATCGGTTTCAACTTTTAAAAAAATCGCATCTTACGCTAATCAAGTATGCTCAGGCACTCAAACGGCGACACTGGCTCGCTACATAATTCTAAGAAAAGAAAACTGAAGGGGCATTAAAGGATAATGTCTGCCCGTGGGGACGAGTAGTAAAGTAATCTTGGTGGGGACCTCTGGATGTAGTAAAGTAATCTTGCTCTGGATCGCCCGGGATGCTCTCCACCGTTAACCCTTTTGGGCGGGGAGGACTGAGACTGCACTGCGGAGACGTACCCATCCTGTGGAGGGAGGGCCCCACTGCGATGATTTAGAAGACCTTGGCGGCGTCCGAAGCTACCAGGTGTCGTTCTGGTGACAGGTGAGAGGAGATCAGAATGCTCTCGTTATCCGCGGATTAGCAGACGACAGCGTGTTTTGCACGTGGAGTCATGCTTGTTAAGGATTGCGGGTTTTCGCAGAAGTTTCTACGTTTTGCTGTTTTGCAGAGATGTTAGGTGACATCTTTAGCAGGAGATAACATTGAGCATGGTGGGGGTACCCGTGCCCTTGATATTGTGTGACACAAGTCGTGATCTGAGAGAATTCCGCGGCGGAGCTCTTCAGTAGTGCTCATTTGTCGCGGAAACGCCTGCTACCACGATGTCCCTGTTAAACTTCTATCCACAATCCACATTCTTGACGGATCACTATGTTGTTACTAGTTACTCTCTTGTTCTGTGAAGTATAAGTCGGTGTGTTTCAGCAGTGATGACGTGAGGTGACGTTTATCCGCCCCTCTTTGCCGGCAGAGCCGCACCTACGGTTCCCTCCCCTGCTGAAGAAGGACGACAGTTGGAAACTGCTCTGTCTGGAGGGGTTCGGAGTGGAGCCAACCAGCTGAGTTCTCCCTTCTCCCCCGCGGGCATCTCTGGGTTCAGGGGCGCACAGACCGTCATAGATCCTCTGAGCGCAGTGATAGCCGTGGAGGCGGCGGGCGCCCTGCAGGGACACTTAGCACCGGCCAGCGGTGTCTGAGCTGCCCCGTTGGCCGTCCTAGACACCAGCCGCCCGGCGACACCTGGGCGGTGTTTCACGGGACGCTGCTACCACGCTGCTATCAAATTGCGCGAGCTGACGTCACACTTGTGGTAGTGTTGGAGCAATGGGCCTGTTGATGTTTCCATGGAAACCCAATTTGACACGTGTAAAAGCAGCGTGCTGCTATCACCGGTGAAACAGGGCCCTGTATGCCTACCCGTTTACCGGCTTACCGGCAGTTTGACAGACAGCGGACCGCAGATGTGAAAGGGTCCGTCGTCGCGGCAGCACTGTCTGGGCTGAGACAAAGTGATGGTATTTTTCCAACTGTGTGGTGAAGCAATGACAAAGCTTCAGGAATGGTTCCCCAGCCGCGATATGTAGGGGACGCTGGTCCAACGCTAATGGTGCTCTCAACTCTCAAGAGAGGTTTGTGGAAGTGATCAAACAGACAATAATACAATGAACTTGAATGTGCATAGTTTTACGCTGTTGAGTTAAGGACGCGTTGTCTGATACTAATTGGTAATCGCATTGAATCATCGAGGTTTCAACTCGGCCATATTGTATAATTGTTGTACAAAGTATTTTGTGAGAGACCCAATTGGCTTTAAAGTGTTGTCCATGTGTGTAACGTTGATAAGCTGTTCATTCGTTAACTTTCAAGTTATCGAGTGCACGTTGTTCAGAAAAACATCAAGTTGACCATTTCGCTCAATGCTCAAAGTGAAATAATCATAACTCTATTTGACTCATGATTTCGGCAATCAATCAGAAAACGCTGCGTGGGCGATAGGTTTATTTCCAGAAATGCGCTCGAAATGCCCGTCGTCAACGGTTAAATTTACGCCACTAACCGGAAACTACTAGTAGTTATTATACGTGATTAACCCTCGCCCCGTTGGGGGGGCCATTTTGGCCCCCCCCCCTGTGGTTTTTCCTGAATAGCAAGAAAACGGCGGCGCGCAGCGCCGCCAAATTTTCAGTACCTTCCCGGGCATCAATTTGACACCTTCACACCAAATTTCAAGTCTTAGGTCACCTTAGGTCAGGAGTTATTGAGGTCAAACTGAGGTCATGTTCGAGCAAAAATGAGCAAAAAACATGCAATCTTGAAACGCTCACCAAATCTACAGTTATCAAGCAATTTCAAAGTTCTTTATATGGTCTAGTAGACAAAAAGCGGCGCTACAAAACTGCTATCTCGGATTTTCAAAATTTTTGGTTTTTGACAAAAAAAAAATCAAAAAATTGATTTTTTTTTAGAAAAACTTTGAAAAAATCCAAAAATTTTCCGAATTTCGGAAAAACCGGAATATATGTGATAGTCCCAGCGCTCTTCTATATACATACCAAATTTCAGATCGATATCTCATTTTTTGGCCAAGTTATAGCGAAAAAAACTGTTCAAAAATGATGACGTCAAATTTTTGAACTCAATTTTTAGCGATTCTAGACCACGTACGGCAAAACAAAGACCACCATTGAACTCCCCGTGACGAGCTGCATCGATTCGATACCCATTTTATGCAAAAATATTAACTTTGAAATTTGACCTAATTTGACCTGACCTTGACCTGACCTTGACCTGACCTTGACCAAAACGTGATCTAAGCTGGCCCCAAAGGCTGCCTGACCCATATAATCGCATTTGTCATGTAAAATGGACCATAAAACATGTATCACACGACACTTTCATATTGTGACCCCCGTGACCTGACCTCTGTGACCTGACCTGGTATCAGTGACCTCAAATAGCAAAATATGTGTTTGAAGAACATTTCCCCATCGATGATTTTCAATGAAATGCATTTTACTCGATTTTACAACGCATTTCTTGAAGTGCCTGTAAACGGTGAAAATTGGACCTTTGACCTGACCTGTGACGTCATCGGTTTGACCTAGGTCAATAAAATTGGGTCACAAGGTAGTTCCCCGTTGGGGCTATCCAACGCCGTTTACCGCTTGTCGCTATGTTGCGTGGTTCTCGAGATCTTAGGGGGGGGGGGGCAAAATGCCCCCCCCCCCAACCGGGCGCGTTGCTCGGCAGAGCCCAACGGGGCGCGGGTTAAAAAAGTAAAATAACCCATGCGTCAAAATCTAATGAGAGTAACCATGTTGAAGAGAGCTAATCTCCTCTGTCGGGGCCGACTATGGCTCCGACGATTATTGTTGGATACGGCTCGTGCCGTCCCTAGCGACTCAGACCCCGCAGCCGGGCCGGGTCGGAGGGGACACGGCTCGTGCCGTCCCTAGCGGCTCAGGCCGCGCAGCCGGGCCGGATCGGCAGCTCCATAGTAGTCCAGTCCCTGGCGGCGCACGGCGGCGGCCTCTGCCTCAGTCACGGGCACCGGTACGTAGATCGGCTGCAGGAGGAGCACGGTGGGCGCTGCGGCCCTCAGCCAGGCGGGGTACTGAGACTGCACGGGCAGCGCGCCCCGCAGCCAGGCGGGCAGACCGGAGCCGGCAGCGGGCGACGGGGACGGCGCAGGCGCGACGGCCGGCCGGGCCGGGGCAGGACTCTTCTCGTCCTCAGAGCCTGGGGAGACGACGGGCGGGGTGTTACCGAGGGACACAACAGTCTGCATGTGTTTGTTAGGTGAGGGACGATGATCGGTCTTTCAGAAAGCGATCAACAGATCAACAGAGCAGAGTGAAATTGAAAACACCGCAGAAAAAAATTCATCTAATTTAACGCTGTTTCGGTTTGTGTTGAATGCTCATCGCGATCATGTCGTGTCGGTGAAAACTAACATAAGCAATTACATGCCAATGTGTTTATCCCCAGCGGAATGCCGCCTAGATGTCTTTAACACGGTCCGGTTTAAGCCCATCTAAGGCACGCTCGTTTGAGCCGTGACGCATCACATTGAACTGCTGTGTTCTGCGCTTAGTCCCACCCACACGATTTAGTCGTCATTTGTCACACTGATAGGATTGCCGGCTGCTCGCTGGGCGCCGATCCGTGTTGGTTTGACAGGTACTCAGGTTCCGGATGCCACTGGGAGTCGGAACGTCCCGGATCTCTTTGGCTTTCACAATTACCGGCTTCTCGGGGTTCCCTTGACAAGTTTACACACATCTCTCCCGCTCCGCGCAACAAACGGTGAAGTCGTGTTGGCGACCGGCTTCACCAAGAGCTTCTATCTCGCTCTAAACAATGCTCTAAGCCGTGGCTGGCAGCGGCACGCAGTCGATCGACCTAAGTGTGTCTGTATGACAAACTGAGTAGAGATCCACTCCCAAGAAGACAGCAAAAGCAAGACTGCAGCAATGGGCCCAAATACAAGTTTTTGTGGTACCCGTAAACCCAAAATCAAGTATCAAGTATCAAGTAAGACTGAACAGAGAAGCCTCCAGTCCAGCTGTCAGCGCGCTAAATCACGGCCTTAACATTGTCCCCGAGCTGAGACTTACCGGAGCATGGGCACCGCATGATAGGATTGAGATGGACGGGACTCGACTCAAGCTATACTCGGCTCAGTTTTATGCACGTCCAGACAAAGGCACATTCTAGTGAAGGGTGCGCGGTCGGCGACACAAACTGAGAAGTGTCCAATTCCATGAAGCATCACACACGAGTGATGCTAGGAGCCGCATAGGGAACGGAAATGCCAACCACTGGAGATTCCCCTGTAAGGCTGTAAATAATTTCACTGATGCAGTGAGATTCTCTCGCACAGCTGTTCTCTATCTATAAGAAGCGGTCTTCGAAGCGTCCCCATCCCCGTCCTGAATGCGAAGTCTATACCGATGTCAATCCTTTCGTGACCACACAGCCAACCACCGCCCACTGTGCGGCTGAGAGGGACCTTGTGCTACGTTTACCGTAGTTTACTGGAGCGTGAAGCAGATGCGCGTGCCGTAATCACTCCTAACCGGCGGCGGGGGCGGGGCAGCGACCGTGGCAGGCCGTTGACTGATTGCGTGAAGCCGGCCGACCTTGGATGCAATGTTTCAACAAACAGCGTGATCGTACACCGCCATCACAGCGTCCACCCTCGGGCGCTGATCCCTGTACCTCTCCCCGGACAGGGGGGCTCGTCGGGCGCCGTTCGACCGCGCCCACCTATAGCTCCGTTCGCTCGCCAATCCGTGCCGATCCCGCCCGCTCCGACGGCGTCTGACATTGCGGATCTGACGCACGAGAGGTGTTCAACCCGGACACGTCTAAACTCTGACAGGCCTCCCCCCCCCCCCCCCCGCCTCTCCGCCCAGCCTCTCAGTGGAACACCTCCCACGGCACCCCATCCCCCGCGGCAGATCCGACTCCGACCGCGAATCACTGAGGGATGTGCCAGAGCAGGTGATTGAGCTTCTTTGTATGAATGAGAATGAAACGGAGGTTTTATCTTTTTTTTTCTCTCTCTCTCTCTCTCTCTCTCTCTCCCTCTCTCTCTCTCTCTCTCTCTCTCTCTCTCTCTCTCTCTCTCTCTCTCTCTCTCTCTCTCTCTCTCTCTCTCTCTCGTTCTCTAACTATTCACTCACTCATGCCACTCACTCACTCTTGTGTATCATTTTTCCTCGCTTGCCCCATTCTGTACCTATCATACTTTTCCCACATCGTGTGACGGCAAATAGTTTCAGGTATTTTCGTTGACCTTGCAGACGCTGTGTGACGCCGAACGGTTACCGCAAAACTGCTTTCGATTTGCCTGGATTTCCTTTTACTCCTCCTTGTCCTTAGACCTTACCGATAGGATTATTTGTCAGCTGTGCCGTCTCATTCGTTTCCAGAAAATTGCATGCAATTATAGATTGGCTAGTACAAACTAGGTCATGCCCTAGTTTGTACTTAACTTACCAGCGTCTTAACACGCGCAGTGGAAGGGGGGCGGATTTCGCCCACCCCTCCTGTTTTTCGCCAATAACTCGCGCCGCAAGGATAATATCAATGTGAAATTTCGGCTACCTGTCCAGAATTGAATTGCAGATCTTCTCGTGCAAAAAGTAAGAAAATCGGTTCATAACTTTTCTAGTAATAGCGGTGTAAAGTCAAACATCCTGCCGCCGCGGCGGCGCGGCGGCGCGGCGGCCGGCGCTAGCCGTTACGCGCCGCCTGAATTGTAGACTGTGCCGGGGCGGGACGGTTCCGTCTTTACATCGCGCTCCTTACCGCTGATTATATTAGATTCGCTTCAAATTCGGTGAGAAGACTGAGAAATGTACAGGCAATCATATAGTCAAAGAATTTTGGAAATCGGCCGGTAACAACTTGAGTTATGAGTGTGTAAACACAAAATTGTGATTGCCGCGTTTCCCGCGTCGGCCGATGCCGCTTCAGCCGGCGACATCTTACCCTTAGCAGGCTTCTAACTGCCATATTTATTGTTGGGTTATCTAGAAATTCACCATACATACTCACAAATGTTTGTTCTTTCGTATAGTGAAAGATTAAACAAAATTGACCGGTAACTTTTTGAGTTATCGGCGTGTAAACGCAAAAAAGTCGCTAATATGGCAGATTTGACCACATTTGACCTCATTTGACCTTGAAGATATTGACCTAGGGTCATGAAATTCACACACAACAGAGTTCCCCATGGCCCCCACCTACCCTCCAAATTTCGTCTTTCTAGCTCCAGTGGGAGCTGAGATCTTAGGGGGGGCGACATCGCCCCCCCCCCCCCCCCTTCCACTGCACTGGGCGTAGTACTCGCAACCCTTCCACTGCGCGTGTTAAACTAAAAGACGTGAATACATGCCTTCACATTCTGACCAGGGTTACATTCATGTGCTCTGCTGCAGTCTCCGACGACCGCAGGTTAGGGTCGCACTCTGCATTGAAGTCTCCGATTCCCGAGATCTCTGAAGAGTCGTCAGGTTATGTTTGTGCTGCTCGTTGCAGTCACTGCTTCCGGACCAGCAGAGTTGAAATATCGTGCTTTTTTTTTGCTCTTCTTTTACAGACTGGCGGTTTGGTTAGGAATGCTCTAGCGTCGGCCGTCGCCCTTTGTATCATCCCACCAATGACACCGACAAGGTCACCACATCCGGCCCCGCCCCTCTGTCTGCCCCCTCCCCCTCCCTCCCTTTCCACTGGACCGAGACACTCAGACAGACCGCGCGGGGAGGGACGGGTGCTGCGCCCGACGGCACGCCCATACCGTCCAACAGGATGTGTTCCCAGCACACCACTCGATATATAACTGCACTCTTCTAGAATTATCCCCGGAACATGATGCAAACTCTTCAGACAACGGTGGCCTCAGTGGGTGAACTCATCGATGTCATCAGCGATGTAATGGTCTCTGTAGTGCGCTTTAACGGCGACAGCTGAGCATTATTTACAGCTAAAATGTAATAGAGGGCTTGCTTAGTCTGACAGGCGCGGCTGTAAGCCGGCGGTGTCTGTAAACGGTGATCGGTGGCCCTCGCCGGGCCCCAGGTAAGACGGTGTGTCCGGGGCCGCTGAGCTGCCAAGGCCCGTGGATTTTCCGTGTCAGAATCTCCGGACAGGACAGAGTGGCGCTCCAGAAGCGTCGCATGGATCGCGCGCACTCTCAAGGGCGACAAGACTTGACAAGAGCAATTATTATTTTTAATATCTTCCGGTTCATCTCGCCCCAGAGAAAAATGCAAAATAGAGCAATTGGCAGCTACCGTTAACTTTCAAAACTACTGAAAAATTACGACGACTGAAAGCTGTGTCTGTGAAGTAATAAGCGATGAAACACTGGGTGAATTACATTGGGCTAAACCGGGACTCCGTATCATGACATTCATAGAGTGATTTCCATATCTAAACATCGAACGGCCAGTCACTCCCCGCTTCCACCTACCGTCGAGTACGATGACATCGTCGAGGGAGGGCTGGGCGGGCACGCGGGCGGCCGGCGTGCGGTCGGGCGCGGCCGCCACCTTGGCGGCGGGCGCGGCCGGTACGGCCAGCTGGTCCTCCCGCAGTGAGTGAATAAACGGCTGCTGAAGCGTGGAGCCGCTCACTGACGACGCCACGGCCAGTTGGTCCTGGCGCGACTCGTGGATGAAGGGCTCCTGGAGGGTGGAGCCGGCCGCCGCCGACACCAGCGCACTCAGGACGGTCTGACGGCGAACAGAGGGGAGTGTCGGGGCTGGAGATACAAACCGGCAGACATTCTTCAGTCATAGCAAATGTGGAGCACCTGTTTTATATTAAAGATGCGCCGGCAGTTAACCCGCGCCCCACTGGGGTCTGCGTATAACACGCCCTACTGGGGGGGGGGGGGGGGGGCTCTCCATAGCCCCCCCCCTCGTAACTCCGAAACTACTGGGCCGATCGTCAAAATTCAAACGGTGTCGCATAACCCCGGAAAAACTGTCGAGCGAAACCTAATTTCATTGACCTCGAGGTCACCGATGACGTCACAGGTCAGGTCAAAGTAAAAATTATTAGCATTTTGGCTTGTTCACATTTTGGGCTCTGGCCGCCGTCTTACAAGTCAGATCAGGCTCATGTTTGTTTTACACACTCGTGAACGGATGCTCTAGAGTCTAGATACCTCGAGGGTACCAAACTTGTACTTTGATTTTCAGGTCAGGGTCAGGTCATCACAGGTCACGGAAATATTATATCATGCGTCGGTCACGTGACACATGTTTTATGGTCCATTTAGGCCACATATTTCGAATTTGATGTCGTCTGTGTCATTCGAGGCATTCGAGGCCATTTTGAGTCAAATTTAGCTTAGGTCAGGTCACTTTCAGGTCAAAAAAGGTCAAATTTTGAAGTTCAAATTTTTCAACAAAAAAGGTGTCTATTGGATGCAGTTTGAGCTCAGGAAAACGATGGTGCTATTTATATTGGTGTACGATGACAAATACGTACTGAAAAATTGATTTGAAAATTAATAATTGTGAATTTTTTTGCAATAATGCGTATAACTTGGCCATTTTTGAAGATATCTAGCTAAAACTTGCTAGAGTTAGTCATAAGCATGCGTTCTGTCACATATATTCCGTTTTTTTTTTTCGAAAAGTCATTTTGAAAAAAAATATAAAAATATAAATTTTGAATATTACCTATTATATAAAGTTTTCGAAATTTTCAAAACTTTGAAAATCCGAGATAGCAGTTTGATAGCCCAGTCAATTCTGAGTCCTTTCATGCAAAGAAATTGGATCTAGCTTAAAAACTGAGCTGTTGGGAGCGATTCCCGTGGTTCAATGTTTTGCGTCGAAATCGGCCGAACATGACGTCACTCTGACGTCATTTCCGGCCGACCTATGGTAGCTACGAAGTTCAAATTTTGACACCAGGGCCTCGTTTCATAAAACTCTGCCGTAACTTACACCTTTCCGTAATTCACACCCTTTCAAACTACGGAGCGCAAATAAATCCGTTTCACAAAGCCACAACTGGAATTGTTTACACCTCCGTAACTAAACACATTTGCGTAGTTACCGTAATTTATCAAGCGTCCTACAAATTACAATTTCATGTCAACACTTATTTTTTTTACGAGAAATCATAAAACAATTATGTTGAATTTAAATCTTAAAAATTATTTATGAAAAACAAAATTGATATTGATGACCATACTTTATTAAAACAATATATTAAAAACAGCAGAAAGCCAGCTAAGCAGAAGTGCCTAACTACGAAAGTGGCGCGGCGCGGCGAATAAACAAAATTCCGATAGTGGCCACAAAAAGCGACTGGTAGAGAAGATCAGGGTATATTGAGTGAAGAGAAGATTTGCAGTTTCTTTTTCTCATTTTGGCTGTTCTTTCTTCCTCACCGGGCTCAACATTATAAAATATATTAAAAACTAGCTTCGAATCTTCACATTAATTCAAAATCACGCAACATTTTTGTGCGTAGTTTACACCACTGATATCAAGAACTTGATAAAATATTTGGCGTTAAAGGTATTATCAGGGTTTTTTTCCAAAATTTCGGACTTACTCAGTGAAACGTGTAGAAGAAGGTGACTGAAGCCCCAATCCAAAGTCATTCGTCTCAAAATTGCCTAATTTTCCAATGGTGGGCCTCCAAAGTTTTCGCGGCTGCCAGCCGCGTAAACTTGCGAGTACTTGGTGGTCCATCTCTAAACGCCCATAGGGTTTACACTAGCGGAGACTTTTCTAAATATTTCTAGGGAAAATATAATGGATCTAGGGAAAATATAATGGATCTAGGGAAAATATAATGGATTACATGCTCCATTATATTTTCCCAAGACAAAATAGGGAAATATAGCATAGGTCCGTAACACAACGAACACAACCTTCTTCTCATTCTTCTCAGCTTCTCATTCTAGATATCCTAGCCCTGATCGGCGGCCGGCTAGTACTCTTGCCCGCGCTCACATACGTGCACGTTACCCCGGCAACGGGCTATTGACCAATGAGAAGCGAGAAAAGTGTTACGTCACTGCGATTTTTCATATACCTGTGCCCCCCGGACGTGACGTAGTGTGCTCGCGCGCGTGCAGGGTCTCTGCGATCGAAAAAGAGCGCTAGCAGCGCGCCACTCGACGCCGCAATTGTCAAAAGCGGCGTGTTAGTATGCTTTATTATGAATGATGTGTGTAAAAGTGAGTTTTTATGTTGTTTATTTGGAGGAAATGGTTGGAATAAATTAAGTTATTTTTATTTCTGTTGGTTGGAGTTTTTATTCAAAAGATTTCGGTCTATACCATTGATATTTACTGAAAATACCTTCGCTTGAATAAATTGCAGATATTTGGCGACTGAAGTGTTAGGTAAGACTAAATGATATGTAAAAAGGTAAGAGACACCCTGATTATCATTTGAGAAACGAAAATATATGAATTTTCCTTATAAGATTCGCTCAATATGCTACTCCGCGGTTTATGCCCCGAGGGTGTCCGAGGGTTCCCGTTAGTTTGTCGTTGGCGCTCGGCTCGCGCGCGAGCCGACGTCACCGCGTGTGACGTCGGCTCGCGAAATACGTCATACCCTGCACACAAAATAGCCGGCTGCCGAACAGCGCTCCTATACACTGTGGATATCCTGTGGGTTATCAAAATAATTCAAATTAAAAAATTGTGTTGTGTGCGTTCAAACTAAGCTCATCCCGAGTGTAATTCAAGAATGTCTTAGTTCAGGTAATTAAACTTGAAAGTGATATAGCTCAACTCACTCACTCAAGCAATGAAGAAGCTTGGATGGAACTAGTGTTGAATCAAAGTTACCTATCATTTTTAATGCTAAGTGCTGAACGTTACCAATAATTCGAGACATCCGTTGTAAGATGTATGACGCAGATCAACTTTGATCAAGTGAAGAAAATAGATTTCAGATGAAATAATGTCAATGTTCAAGGCTGAGCGACTGGCAGATTTCGGAGTGAGCACGAGTGGCCTTGAGACATTCTGTTTCTGTAGGTACTCAAAATAAATAAATTATCATGTTGTGTGCTTTGAGGTTAAGTGTTATCAGTGGTGCTTCATGGTTGTGCTTTGTTGTTGGTGTATAGGCATGTTTTGAGCACATTGCAGCATGATATTGGTGGTGTGTAAAGCAACTGATCTCCGCAGACTTTGCACTTACTTGCAAAGCCTGCGGACTGACTTTGCAGACTTTGGCTGACAATGAGCAATGCATGAGCAATGCATTGCTGACTGATATCATTTATTCTGTGTTTGTAGCACAAAGTACAGAAGTGGCACATACATTGTTACTTTGAAAACCTGATGTGAATTTTGATGTAGAAAATTGGTGGCTGACGTTGAGTCCTGACGTATTGTGAGTAGTGTACATCTGGTGCATTGAGCGCAGACTTGAGACCAGTGACGTTTGTATCAGTAGACTGTGTTTGAGTCTACTTATATGGGTAGTCATAAAGCAGGCGTCACACTTCTTTTTGCAACCAAGGAGATGCGCTATACCCAGAGATGCTTTCTCACCAAACCTTACCAAACCAAACCTAACCTACAGCGCCTCTCTTCGTTCGTTCATGGTTGCAAAAAAAAAACAAGTGTGACGCCTGCTATACTACTACCCTTATATGGCCTTGGTTTGAGTGTGGTGACTGAGTAAGCTGGTGTGTATAGCCATGCAATAAGTGTTTTGAAATATATTTTTGGGACAGTATTGAAATGGTGTGTTTTGGCCATCTGGCATGGATGATGGAAAGTCACTAACTCAACTTCAGGAACGCTTCTTCATTATGCTCATCTAAAGCACAATGATCTATTTTCTCTTCGCAAGGATTGATTCCTAATTCACTGTCAATTATAACCTGGGCCAGAAGGTTTCGCTGAGCCACAGGGTTCATACAGATTCATCCACAGTGCTCAGCAGTGTATGTTTTCAGATTTCAACAGACTGTATTTTTTTCTGTATGTACATATGCATCATGCAAGGGTACAACAGATGCGGTATTTGGTAAGCAGTTGGCAGCAAGGTGGTGTTTGTACTTATTGGCAGAACTAGTTGAGCAGGACTAAAACTATCCTAGTTTCTCTCCAGTTTACTCAGATCCGTCTCAACACATTGAACATATTGAAAGCATTCATCCATGAAATGTCTGCATGTGTAAACTGTGGTTTAGTCTCTTATGACAAAGCCGATATCAAAATCACATGTTTGCTATATTTAGGCAAAACATAACTCAAAACAGGCACAAGCTCGGCCGGCCCCTGCTCTGCCGACTCTCTCTCCCTGAGCTCTGGTCAGCTGCCGCGGCCCAAGCGGGGAGCGGGGTGGCGTTGCCCTAGCAACCGTAGCTAGGCGACGGCCGACGGCCTCCTCCCGCGGACAGATGCGGGCGGCGAAACTCAGCCGTCTATACATGTATACTCAGTTCCGAGAAGGCACGCTCGTCGCTCATCCATTGCCGAGCAGGCACGTGCGTGCCCATCGCCGGCGCGCATTAGCGCGCGTCCATGGCTGGGGCGCACGCGCGCGGCCATGGCCGGCATGCACGCGCGCGCGCCCATCGTCGGCACGCAAGCGCGCGCCGCGTCCTTACCCGGCGAGCACGCCGCGTCCGTACCCGGCGCGCACCCGCGCGCGTCCACAGCCGGGGCGCACCCAAGCGAGTTCGTACCCGGCACGTACCGGCGCGCACCCGCGCGCGTCCGTACCCGGCCCGCACCCGCGCGCGTCCACTGCCGGCACTAAC